TCCGCAAAACGCCCGGAAACTTGAAGAGAATTGTATCGCACGAAACGTTTTCGCCGTTTATAAAAGCATGGATATCGGAGGCCGCAGAGTTGGGATGAGGGTGGATTTCATCTGTCGATTCGAAAATTTATATCGTTGAGAGATTAAATAGTGCAGACGACTGCTTTTTCTGTCAGAGCAGTTATTGTAGCTGATATAATGGAGATGTTATTGAGCTCCGCTAGTCCATATATTTTGATAGATAATTTGATGGATAATTTTTAGATCGGGCTTTTCAATATGAAAGAATGCAAGTAAACAAAGCGACGCTATAAATACGCGTTGCGCCAATTGATTTTTCATTTGTCGATTAACACACGCATGTACGCACGAAGAAATATAGACATACGCCTATTCCTTCATCGTTTTCTCGTTACTAATTTACGCGCAACAATGAGAGCAGTACATGAGTGGTTCCTTTCAATTATACAATACGAAGCGGCGTGGAGAAAGTCCCATTTATAGCGCATGTAACGTTTAATTTGGATATACTGGGTATACCGGCGCTTTCAGACGGAAATTCGCCGCTTTTATCCACACGGTGAATGTGGACTTAGCATTACAAAACGTAAAATAAATATTTCATAGTTTTGCATCGAAAGAACAACGTTGTGCTTACAAAGAATGCTTCGGCACTCGGCGGAATACACACGCCGCGTTATTCCATGTCGATTTTTCTTCAGTGGAAACACCGAGACGCTTGGTTATCCTTGTATTTACAGACAGACTTTGCGCGGAAAGAAAGCGCATGCAGGAGTATCGATTGGCGGTCGATCGGTGTACTTAAATGCGATACAGGGTTGTTCGAGGGATGGTCCGGGTTGATAAGTGGATGACGGCTGGTCTAGTCGAAGCGACGCGTCCTAAGTACGTCGTCATCGAGTTTGATTTGACGCCGTTCGTCTTTTTATACTTTTTTTTCTTCCACATATCTCGCGATGTTTCCCGTATGTCGATTAACGCGCACCCTCAACAACACTCTCTGTGCTTGTAGATCACTGCGTAGATCGCATCTTCCCATTTCGTCTACAAATGTCTCGCTCTTGCGGGAGATAAAGTCTTCAATTTCGTTTTTTTTTGCGTTTGTGGCGAAATCTACTAGATTCCGAATGATGACGCTTCTACAGTGCCTTGATGGAGATAAGATAATTTACAACAATTTACGCGCGCCGTGAGATAGAAACATCGAATATGGAACCGCGCGTTAATTATCAGGATATCTTCATTAATTAAGGTGTCTCTGGGAATCCTATAAGAAACTTAATCTTTTCCAGTTTACTATTGAACTGTATTTTGTCACTCTGTATCGAATTTGAATTAAAAGTTACCTATTGATATGATATTTTATTTAAATATAAATATAACGTAAATATAGATATAAAAAAACTAAATTTTTTGCTGCTTTAATTAAAAATTTTAACTATTTATCTGATAAAATATTATATAAAGTCTAATGTTTATTCTATTTAATATATAACGTATAATATAAAGTTCAAGCAAACACTATAAAACTGACAGATTCTCACAACTGCATTCTGCGTGTGTGAAAAGTTTCTTATGAGTTTTTCTGTTTTGTGCGGATAACAGAGTAATAGAAAATTTAATCCAACTTGGGAAATAAAGTTTTCAGCCTGTCGAATTAAGCGTCTTACCTAATGCACATGACATCTGGACCTAATTTCTTGTTCACTTTCAATATGTTCCGTTTTTTTTTTATTTGCTTTTTGTTTTGTCGATGCTTTGGGATAGAAATGATCGACGCAGTTTTTCACGTTATCGTCGTCGACGTACTTATATTGATCTTCCACTTTGGTGCTTTGCTCTCTACTAGGCGGATTTAATTTTCTAGTTTTTTTCTTTCCTTTTCTAAAATCGGATTTGATTTTTCAGCTTTAAAATGTGCGAATGACACAAATTTCTGAGGTCGCAAATACTTTCTCTTTTAGCTCCGTATAAGCCATCAATTTTGGATAGATAAATTTAGAAGGATTCAAATATTTGACGCATTTTGATGCTATTTTTAGCGATGTAAATTATATATGCAGATGCACGCATAAATTTAACTTGAAATATGCAAATATTGCGTCAAATTTGGGGCGATAAATTGCATATTGACAGTTACAGTTCGATAGTTACAGCGCTAGCACGTGCATGAAGAAAAATAATCGATCGCGGTAGATAAAATATATAAAGAAAAAAGAAATTGAAAAAATAATAGTGAACGTAAACTGGAAATAAAGTAATTCAAGAGAATGAAGGCGATAAACATAAGAGGGAAAACAGTTGGCATACAATACAGCTTTTCTAAGTAATCTAAATGATAAATAAGTTTTTCCCTACATTTTTTTATGTCCCACAGACGCCTGCCGTTGATATTAGATTGAATATTTTTACAAATGTTACCCTGATAGATCTCGAGGGAAATTTTTAAGGGTTAGGTCGAGTCAACGCAGATTCTCGCGCGAAAAACAGGCTTGAAGTATTCAGAATTGCGGAAATATTTCCCGCACATAGTGTTTGTAAATGTATATCATGAGTGGCTATCTGGCGTAAGTAAATCTACTTTGCTGTTGTGTCCTTTTGGTTTATTTCTTCTCTCTTATATATAAATGGGATCAAATGTCTAAATGTTTTATCGGCGAGCAGCTGCGCCGCGATTTTCTCGGTTTTTTTATTCGCTTCTGTTCATTCGCGTCAATTCGGACGGCCCTCGTCCATTGAGATTTATTCGAAAATAGGAATTAAAATCGTAAAGCATTTTCCGTCGCATATGCGCAGCTAGCAAGAGAACGAGAGAAAAAATGCGTATATTTGTGAAAATACAGCAACTGCGTGCTCTTTAGTATTGTTGGCCTCAGAATCCCTTCGGCACGTATTCCTTTAAACGCGTTTTCTAGGAGGCAATGGAAATTGCTTTCTCACATTTCCCTATTTTTCTCTTCCGACAATATGCCGACGGTATCGTCTCTCTGTGTTAAGTTAAAAGACACGGCAACAGTAATACAATTGCATCAGAAAAGTACATAAGGCGACTTTGAATAGAAATATAACAATGGCACCGTCTAATTACGACAAAAGGGATTAAAAGAAAAACTTCTTTTTTGTATTGATAATATTACTATTAAAATGTCGCATTAATTCTGCGATGATACATCGCGTTTAAAATATAAATGCAATGTTCTTTGCAAGCTTTTATCTCTTCAGAATTGCGTAAGAAGCATCTTATTGTGCTTATTTGTTGTTTATGCGACATACATTCAAATAACAGGAAAGGTAATGTTATGTTGAGTCATATTTGTCGTGAAAAACGAAACATACATCATTGCGCTGTCGTGCATTGAACTCCCCGCTTAAATAACACATTTTAGAAAGATCATATCTCCAGTTTCTTGAGAACTAGACTTTTCAGTAAATGCATATTGTACGCGATGTTTCTAACAAAAACCCCTAATTATTAAAGACATTTAATTATTCGTTTTCCGTCGCCTTTCTATTATCTATGATAAAATCACTTTGCGACGTGACTACTCAGATTGGCGTATGCAAATTTCGACGTGTCACGCGAGAGAGAAAGAGAGCGAACGTCTCACGTCGTCTTGTCGGAACCTATTCGAAGTGTGTGTCCTCGCGATGTGGGTGGCAGGTGGGTTACGTTATCGTGCGCCTCGATGCTAAGCGGAGCCTCCAACGAAATTCAATGCTATTGCTACCGGGAACGTGTGGGAACGGTGCACGGTTTACGTGCGTGTAATTGGCGAGACCCGCTACGGCCTAGATTAACAATGCATAATGCATACCTCTCTTCTTTAGCGCCGCCGCCAGCTCACTGTTCGTAATATGCAAGCGAGAGTAATTGCTATGACGAATCGATCCGTGTACTTCTCTACAGAGTCCTCAGGATGATTCTCGCCTTTTCGCCGAAAGAAACAGGAGTCCGCTCATAGCGTAGATTTTGATGAAGATAAAAAAATAGACCGGGCACGCACAAAAGAATCTAATCGAATTTTTCTGTAGTAAATTTTTGAACAGTTAATTTAATTACTGTAAAACAAAAATGAAAAAATTATTTATTTATTTAATTTATTTAGGTGAAATGCATGTTTTATTATGTATATAGATTTATAAATATTTGTAAAATATTGTGGATTCAGATCTAATGAAATATGACTGCCTTTTTTGGAAAACACATATGTAAAGTGAAATTATCTCTTTCCGCACTTACGGCAAAATTTAAATAATTGAATTGTGAATAATTGAATAATTGAATTATAAATAGAGGAATAATTACACTTGATTAGGTAGTGTAAACAATGTAATCACAAAGTACACTGAAACGTATATCCGTCCATTGTAAAAGAGTCAATTTACCGATCAAAATGATCAATTAACAGGCGAGAGATAGAAGACGATTAAACTTAAATGACTGGAGAAACGAGTAATTAAAGCGCAGACGCGCGAGCCTTTAATTATACACGAAGCCTTTTCTGATGCAACAAAGTTATTCGCTTTGACGCGTGTTGATCGTGCACGGCGTGTTCATCGTTTCTTGTATCGCTAAAGTGCGTCGCACTCTTTGCATTTTCAAGTGGTAACGAGCACATTATGTTGACCCCATCTCTGTGTATGGGCGTACCCATTGGTCACCGAACTGTCCTGTTAAAAGGACAGTTCCTTCATTACAAGCGATGAAATTTCACGGCACTAATATCGTACCTTTATTGCATTCTGCATCCAATTTCCTCATGCGAAATCGATTGTTCGATCGATCTTGAAACGCGGTCCAAATTCAAGCCCGTCTCGGAATTCACGAGGATTATTGGACGTTTCTTAAAAATACCATTTTTGTGAAATTGGCTAACGATATTCGATATATTTGATCAAATAGGTTGAAAGATATCCTATCAATATGTACGATTGAAAGCGAGTTGATGATTAATCGGCAAAACGTATCATCGACTTACCTGAAAAAAAGTTGACCCGTCAATTGAACGATCGCGATGCTGTACTTCCGCCGATGCATTCAGCCTCCTCGCTATCTCCGATTACCCGACAATCGAGACGAATCACTCGCCGAAGCGATTTGTGTGAGGAAAAGTCGACGATCTCATTAAGCTACGTGAGAGGTGGCGAGTGCACTCGTGCGCGTCCGGCGCGGTGTACGCGGGTTGGGTTGCGTCGCGACGCCGCGTGCCGACTGAAACCACTCTCGTCCACCTCTCGTTCTCCGGCGGCGATCGAGGGAGAGTATGCGGGTGCGCCTGCCAACATCGGGACGCCGTCGCCGTCCCCGCCGCGACGTTCAACTCCCCCCGGTGCGTCGCGTCGCGACGCGACGCCGACGCCGACGCCGACGCCGACGGTCGCGAATCGCCAGAGGACGCTCTCGCGAAATTCGCATCCACGTGGTGCGCAATAGTCGGCCGGTTCTTCGTCCGTCGGTCCATCGGGGACGACGACGGTGACGACGACGAGAACGCCGCCGACGATGAAGCCGGGCGTTGTCAAAGCGGCGAAAGATCCCGCGTCCTGTCGACATCGACGAGGCGCGATGCAGCCTTGCGATCGATCCATTCGCCCCCTCCCCTCGTGTGTGCACTATACGGCGCGGCGCACTGGCGGTGGTGCGAGCAGGACGCGTATAATGTTCGGGACAATACGCGTGACGAGGGTGGACAATGCGTTTACAAACGGAGGGTAGAGAGACGAAGGGATGGAAAAAGATGTGAAAAGAACGAACACAGTCGCTCGTAAATTTCGAGCTGCGGGTTCACGGGCTAGTCAAGGTCGCGCGTCCGGTAATTGCAGCGAGGTTGATGTGCAATTCATAGACGCGATCGTATACAGACCGTACGTCAGGCAGATTCGAAATTACACTATACGGAACTTTCGTTCCTCGTGAGTACCTTGGCAAAAGAATATGAACTCTGTTCAGAATCAAGATGATTTACTTTACGTCAATTGTGTTTATAACTTTTGCTTTAACTCGTGATTACGAAACTTATATTGGAAGACGAGCTGAAGAACAAAGAGAACAATGGCAAATGTATAGGAGTATCCAGTTATGCAATGCGATATAATTACATAGACAACAATGCTTTTGATATTCTGTATTCATGTTGTATATCCGTCCGTTGTTAATCTGATTTGCGCAGAGTTTTGTTGTCTATTCCTTGTTTAAGTTTCTACATCCCATTTGAAACTTTATATAGTTTACATGTAAGATATAATACGCAGAATATTGTAGCTTGACGTTAAACTCGATCATAAAAATCAATGTAATATTCTGCAGCATAAAAGGTGTTTTCGTAATATTGCTTTGTTAACAAGAAATAAGGCAAAAAATGTAGCATAAATGTAAGACGCATTATGAAGATAAATGTTAAAAATTGCAACTGTAAGAGATAGAACCAAACAGAAAATAGTCGAGAGAAACTAGACGGTGCGCGGTATATTTTCAAGACTTAAAAAGTTAGTCAAGGTCGTGATGCGATTGTTCAATGTCCAAGTGCACCGGAAACACTTTGAGTGGGAGGAGTTTCTGAAAGCAATTGAATAGGAGCAAATGTCGTAACCTGGAAGCTGGACTTACGTAAAGTTTTGTAGTATCCATAACAAGTTCTATGGCACATCGTGGGTTTCTCAGCGTGTCGTTTGTGATCGACGAGCACGAAGTTATCGTGATGCCGAACAGGACCGCACATATTTCACTTACTATTCGATGGTGCGTAATGTAATTGCTCATATTACTCAACTTTCATTGGCTACATTAGAAAGTATATTTGTTAAAAATATCTATTTAAATAAAATTACTTTGCTGAAGAAGATCTGCGAAAAAGATGAGCAGAAGTTATTCTATTCAACTTTGCTAAAGAGCTTCAGCATTCTTTCGCGTTTTTTTTTTCTAGAAAATATTTGAATTTAAATATTCTATTTAAGCTTTTAGTGCTAATTTAATTTTAACAAATAAAGGCAATATTATTCTTTGAAAGAAAAGTGCTTTTATATATTTCTCTCTCTCGAAAAGTAGTTATTCTATTCAGTTTTGCTTAAAAGCTTCAGCATTGGAATTTTCTCGCGTTCTTTTTTAAAAAATGTATGAACACTGGAAATTTTCGCTATTTACGGCAAAACTTGCGAAAATTAAGGTATTTCTTAAAGTTATATAGCAAACAACATAATATAAATTTTGTTCGAACTTTAATATCAAATTTTAAAAAGGTAACCTTTTTAAAAAAAATATTAAATATTTTATTTAAGCGTATGAAAGTTTTTTAGATATCTGGTCTTTTTTTATTAAATTATATGATTGCAGTAAAAATTGGAAGTCTTCAATGATTTATATAGAAATTATTTAGTTGCAAATGAGAGAGAGAGATAAAATCCGTCCCTTTACACTCAATTTACGTGAAAACTAACAATGGATATATAAAATCTTTATTCTATTTTCAAATAAAAAAAAGCTATCATTACCTGGTTATGATGCAGCTTTAACTCATCTCTTGCAATCTCGGCGTCTCAGCACAAAGAGTAGACCGAACGACAGATTCGCACAGATTTGCTCGACATATTGTGAGATAAACCTTTCAAAGACTCTCTGTTTTATAGCTCGTGGGTGCATGCGTGGGTGACTTATGCCGGCTCTGTATTCGCCTGATTAAGGGCCACCCTTCGACACAATTTCCGCACTCTGTAGGCCGATCTCATTCTCTAATTTTCCCTTTCCGTCCGGCCCTATAGTGTTATAGAAGAGTTAATATTCCCGCGTGACGCGACGTTTCCGCGTCTCTTTGTCACGCGTGCCACGTGCACGTGTCGAAGATTAAGGTCTCCTCGGGGGCCTTTGTGTGATTTACTTAATAGGCAATTTCTTCTTGATGCTTGCGAGTTATTCGTTTGTAAATCGGGACCAGCCTTTGTGCGTGCAAAAAAATGACGCCCTCGTTCTCATATCATCGTTTCTCGTCGGCAATTTTGTTATCTTATTATATCGTATTAAGGAAAGAAGATAGGGAATGTAATTGGAAAAACATTTTTACATTTCTTTGTAATAGGTAGCTGAAATATTGATATTTTTTTATTTTACAAAATTATTCATTTCTCTTTTATAATTTTGGAATAAAAGTATTTTTTTAAAAATCATATAAAATCGTTAAAAAATACAAAAATATATATATTATAGCAAGTTATTTCTGGTAAGAAATATTATTTTATAAATAAAAAACATATATATCCAATTAAAAATATGTAAAAAATAGTAATGTGAACGGAATTATTAATTTTTTGATTTTGCATTAACACTTTAATCCAGATTTCAGAGATTTTTCAAATTGATTAGATTTCCCAAGTATTTGATCACAATTGCTGACCTTCGATAAATTATTATTCTATAATGTTTGCGTTTCTATTGGCTGCTTTAGCACCCATTCATCTTCATCGTTGCGGTCTCTATAACTTCTACTTTCGCAGTGTAAGGGTAAGTATCAAGGGTATAAAAGTTGTGCGGGTAGTATTTGAGGTCAGAATCCTTGTCAGGATTTACAGTATCGCACCATTCACAATCAGTTGTCCCAGATTATTCCGGCGGAATTGATTCCAATTTGCATGGAAGCATATGGAGAGAACGAGCGGCGTGCAATTCGAGGTTTCCGCTCGCGGGATCCACGGATTCCATTTCGATATAACGCGGATTTCGCTTCACACCGCAGCGTGATCGACATACCCAGTTGTGCTCTTACCATCGGTGATTCGGATCGTGAGGTATCTTCGACCTTGGGGGAATTTCACCTCCAATTGACGTCATAAATCCGTAAGAGAAATTTCATCGTCTAGCAATCGTGTAAATTCGAAGGGCCGTAAAACACGGATCTTGATATTAACTTTGAAAATGATAACATTCGCCAGAAAGCAATATTATTCGCAACGAAGGATACTTTTTGATTAATTCTAAAATAGAGTCTGACGTGCACCGAGTATTTGATGAATAATCACCGTTTCATCAGATGACACAGCTGTTTTATTGCCAGATTACATGTATCGTTATTGGATGGTGCACAAAACCACGACCATACACATGACACGTTTAAATTGTAAACGGATATGAAAGCGCAAACGAATCGGTCGATTCTATAAAATGTCAATTTTTTGTTATAAACATTTGCTAAAACTATGATATCAAACGGAGAAAAAAAGACGATTGCTCTTTCTACAAAAATTGCAATTGAGCTCGCAGTGCGGAAAGCTATGATTTCGTAATGTCAGTCTTTTTCTCTTCCTCGTCATCGGTTTCGTCCTCATCGACGGATAAATCCGAGCCATTTTCTTCAGCCTTCTTCGTCGATTGTTCCTCGTCGGGCTGGTTCAATCGCGCGGTCTTTGGCTCCTTTTCTATGTCATCAGTGTGAATATTGCTCTTCAGATCGTCCTCGTCCATCTCGTAATCGTCCACCTCGTTCTCGGCAACCTCTTCGGGATTCTGCGGGCTGGAAATCCCTTTGACCGTTTTATCGCGTTTCTAGACTTACTTTGGCTCACAAGTGTAACCACTGTGAGCGATTATGACGCTAGACTCTAATTATTTCGCCTATCAGGGATAATTATGCGGGGGTAAAAATAATTCTATCGATCGCCGTACGACGATGCGCGTTTTATTCGAGAAACGTTAATCAAATGGATACCTTACATTGCAGATATCTTTCTTCTTTGATTATTACCGGGTCATTGTTAAATATAATATTAAATTGCACCACATAAATCTGCGTCTGTTTATTCCTCTTTGCAATATGCTTAAACGTAAGACAAAATTAAGCTGATTCGAAAGTTAAAAAAAAAACAAATTTTTCTTGCGCTTATTTATCATCGCGACGCATCAAGCGCGAGTTTTCGTCGAATTTGCAATTCATAAAGCTTACGTACGAGTTTCAAGGTCTTCCTGGTAAACACGCAGATTATGTGTATAGCTAAGCGAATTACACATTATTACGCCGACTACGCGTTACCACATTGACTAATTACCTGCTGCCTGACATTCTCCTGCCGGCTCTGCTGCGCGATCTGCTCCTCCTCCCTCCCCTTCTCCTCCTCCTTCCTCCTCGCCCCCTACCTCTGCTGCGCCTCGCCGAAGGACTTCTCGATTTTCGACCTCGCCTCCTTCGCCTCCGTCGTCTCCTTCGCTGCTCTTGCACCTGTAAGTCGTCGAGTCTGACCGGAGTGTCACGTTCCTTAGAGAGAGTCTGGTCGCCCGTACTAATCCTGTTCTTCCGCGAATCGCTTTTCATCAGGTCGGAAGATACACGTAGGACTTTGTACATGGGATCGGAAGGTATAAGATATCCCGATTCGACGCCAAAATCCAATGCCTTCTTAATGTATTTTCTCGCCTTCCTCGTACCTATCAGGAAAAACTTATGAAATTTTACCGAGGTAGAAAATTATTCTAACAAGAAAATTCATGTATCGTGTCTTTTCCTTTCTTTCAATCACAGTTCCCTTTAGACTTTATATTTTATAAATTGTGTTTTTCCCGACAAAATACATTTTTTTTTTAAATTATACTTAAGTTGTTTAAATTCAAGTCGAATTACGTAAATTTATTCAAGCGATAAATAGTGCAGAATTTCTTTTCACAGCTTGTTTAATCATTGCAGATCAATCTAATTCGTGTACGTGTGATTACGATTTATAATTACTTTATTAATTAGTTCCTTACCTTCGCCGCCGACGCATTTCTGCAGGAATGAAATAGGTAGATCCTTGGAGGTGGGACGTCGCTTGGTAACGTGCGATTTTGCGACCCTATCGCTGTCCTTGCGCACTCCGTAACCCATACTCTTGCCGGCAATTCGTGGAATATCTGCGGATTCTACGACTTCGTCGCGGTATTTCTCTTGGCCGCAACGACAGTCAGTTGCGAGGGTACGTTTTGTGTCGCGAGCAGCCTGGTCCGCGACGAGGAACTTGAAGACTAACTCAGGAATGTTTGGCTTGCGACGACGATCTGTAGATCAAAGTAAATAGATTACTCGTGCTGCAAATATTTATCTCTGCTGTACGATCAATTTTCTAATTGCGCTCTTTAGCGTACGAGTGACACATATTATTAATCATCAATTCTATCATTTATGTAAATTTTTTGGCCTATATTGTTTCAATTAAAAGCGAAAAGAGGTTGCTTTTTGTATTAAATGGAATTTTAAATACAAATGAATAATTCGCGATATCACTAAATAATTCAGTCCAATTTATATGCAGATACGATTCTGGTTTCACGGATAGCATCGGAGTTACGTAGATTACGTTGGTTTAATGAAGTAAACTATTGGTTCCGCATAATTAATGCAATACTGTGAGATATAGCATATATTGATTGACACATAAATATATTAACATAATGATGAAAGTGAATTTCAAAGACACATTCCACGCTCATGCCATTTAATTTGAAATGTAGCGTCGGCTACATGTTGTCATAAAAAATGTACGAAAACATTTTACGAGAAAAGCGACGACCAAAATTCTTTTCTAGCGCGTTGTAATGATCACTCACTCATTCTTTGATGGCTTCGCGCGCTTCGATGCCTCTTTATGCGAGCCATTTTGTGCTTACTGTTGATTTTGATATTTCCGTAGCCTTCGGATCGCGTGAAAACGTTTCTTCTCGATCGTTGAACACGTCTGCTTCGATTTTTCGTATTTTCCGGATAATCAGTCGGTCGTGGCGCGGAATTTTGTCTGCAAATTTCCGAGACATTGAAGATTGAAAGAGAAGTACAACCGGCAGCGTCTTCCGTCGGCGCTGTTCTCTTCTCTTGTCTTTTTTCTTTTTTCTTTTTTTAACAACGTAAAATCGCTTTCTCCCTCATTTGCGATTATCGTTCGAGCAATCGATTTATAATTAAATGTTCATTAATAAGTCCAATGCGTAGGTGGTGATATGTCAATATATTAAAGCGGCAACTCTTTGATTTGAAAGAACAAAAAATATTTTTTTTTTCTCATATTTACATGTTAACTGTAAATTGGTTCGATTGCGATAAGTCTACCTCTGTTAATTCTAAAAAATTTGTGGCGTATCTAATAGAAAGAGATGTACAGAAAGAAATTGCGATTGAAATGTTCATGACAGCAGCAATTTGCCGCGTTCGATTAAATCAGTAACGGTATCAATTTCGAAGTAACGCTTGTATTGTGGGCGTATTCTGTAAATATCATGCAATTTCGCGTTTTTAATATGAATAGAATTAAAGCTAAAAAATTTCCACATTTTTCTACAATATTTAAAATACAACTAATTTTTTATTTATTTATTTATTTATGGCACTACTGCGCAGAGCAGTATTAATGTAATATCAAACGAGGAATATATTCCAGAACATTTAAAAAATTTTTAACAAAATTACATTTATTTATATATAAACTTTTTTTCCCTCGAATACACGAGAATAATTGATGGAAAGAATGATACACGTATTCACGATGTTTTAAATGTGTAATTTCAAGTGAATCTAAAACATGTATATAATAAATGCATTCTATAAACAATAAATGAGGAGAGTACAAAAGCGAGGCGATTCTCGCTTCGGAGTTGAGAGAAGTGCCGCTCTCCCGATACGGGCGTTCAATTTTTTATGGATCCATTTGTCTGATGGTGTCGTTCGTGTCGCGTTCAACGTTCGCTTCTTCAGACTTTTCGTCGTCATCGGCGTTTCTACGCTCAATTCTGTTGCAATCGTCGTCGGTGCTCGTTCCGGCTTTTTGTTTCTCCATCCTCGATCCATCCTCCCGACTCGACGACTTCCGTCTCTCGGTAACTGCTCTATAACTGTCTTCATTGCGTTTATATTGATCACGATCTTTGCTGTTCACGTTGTTGTAACTTTTCTCCACTGGTTCATGATCATTCGCAAAACGTTTCGGAGATGCAATCACGCGACGTTTCTTGACCGGCTTTTTGGCATCCTCGTTGTTGCCTCTTTTCCGCTGTTGTCTTCGCTTATTGTTGACCGTACTGTCGATTCTGCTA